GAACAAATCTCAAATACAAAAAAAAAACAAAAAGTAAGTTCAAAAGTGAGAAAACCTCAAGCATACAAATACTAAAATTCAAACGCAGGGTTGCACACCTTGGGGGTTTTGTTTTAGGTCTTGAGCATTTATCCTTTCTTCTTTAAATCTTTAGCCTAACCTCGTTACAACCCTTAAAAGATCTCCTTGAGATATACACACACTTGTGCGAGGTTCGGCTAGAACTACGTTCGGCCTGATTCCTAACGGATACGTAGGCAATCCCACATTAGGGTGCGGCCTTAATAATAATTATCCATCTCATATTCGTGCATGATCATATCAAGGGATCCCTAATGCTCATCCCTATCCATTTAGAGCTAGAGTTGGGGGCTTGATCCCTACTTCATTAGCCTACCCAGCCTAAGAGTCACCATCATTTGGCTCTTTTCAAAATTATTTTCTACACCCTTACCCTTTGTAGCTTAACCTTAGTGTCACTTTCACACACATAACAAATACGTAACCGAATAATCCTTCCTTAGGAACTCGTTGTCATTAAATCTTGATATAACTTGAAGCTCCTTGTCATCTTCGAATCACTCATTATCATAATCATCATCGTATTACAAAGTATGCGTTACTTAGCCTCCGCGCTTAAGTTACCCAAATACTTTCATTATAAAATCATCAATCTTTGCACCATGAAATACAATGATTAATACATACACTTGTTACTCATCTTTTTTCTTTTGGAGAAGTTCAAAAACTTTGTTTTTCAACAACACTTTACCTCTTTTCATTTTCACGTCTTTTTTTTCGGGAGAAAGTCGGTACCCTCCACAAAAATGACGGAATTTTTTTACTTTTTCTGCTTTTTCAAGTGCACAAGCAAAATGACAATACAATGCACACACAAGTCATGTACATTGAGTCATGTCATATCATCACATCGAGTTATTGAGTCACATCACATCGAGTCAAGTTGAGTACATTGAGTCACACAATGAGTCAAGTAACACCAAGCCTTGAGTCAACCTCAAGCCAACCAACCACAATGAGTCAAGTACACCAAGTCTTGGACACTCTCACATTTCAAAAGCTCTTTTGCCTAGAGACGAGTGGACTTTTCATTCCAAGCTTTTTGTCCAGAGACAATTGGACATCTCATTCAAAGATCTTTGTTCAGAGACGCGTGGACATTCCTTTTCAAAGCTCTTTTGCTCGGAGACGTGTGGGCATCCATTTCAAAGCTCTTTTGTTTAGAGACGCGTGGACAATCCTTTCCAAAGCTCTTGTTCAAAGACGAGTGAACATTCCTTGAGTAAGCTCTTGTTCAGAGATGAGTGAACATTCCTTAAGTAAGCTCTTGTTCAGAGACGTGTGGACATTTCTTTCAAAGCTCTTTTTTTCAGAGACGAGTGGACATCGACAGCACTCCCTGAGAATGTGGAGGTTGTCACCCAACTTGAGAAGATAGCTCAAAGCGTAGCAATCTCCGACAGCGCTCCCTGAGAATGTGGAGGTTGTCAAACAAAATAAACTATGATTTGATGTCACCCAGAGACGTGTGTTCGGCAAACCTAGATACACGTTTCTTTTCCCTTAACTCCTTTATTTGTAGAACTGACGCTTTCTGCAGGTATCGGCGTTAAAAAGGATGATTTAGGATCGCAGAACGTTCTGAATCATTCTCCGTCCTTATCGACTTACTTTGACTTTTGTTTTCGAAACTTACGTTTCTCCAAACTCGGTCAAAGTGGGGGATTCTGTAGACCCCTGATTGTGTCTCCCCAAAAACCAAACCCAGTGATGAGTACCTTTCACGTCTTTGATTAACGAGTTTGGTAAAGAGTTGAAGAGTCTTGTAAGTTTCCTTAAGCCTTGACCATATTATAACCTTTCCTAAAAGTATTAATCCAAAGTCATTTATTTCGTGTCCTTAAACCAAAAACATTAATTTCGTGTCCCTTAAATCATTCATTTCGTGTCCAAATTATAAAAACATCTAAATCTGATTATTGTGGTCCATAATCTCAGTCCAATTACGATATATAATAAGCCCAAATCCGACTTAAAACGAATAAGTTATGGCCAAAATACTAAACCGAGCCTAAACCAAGCCTGGACCCACCTTACCTACGACCCAATGATCATGTAAGGGTCCAAATATCTTATTCCTAATTCTAAATCAATTAGGATTCTTTAGGAACTTCTAGAAGCCTCTATAAGGTTCTAATCTATCCTTTCCGCAAGATGAAGATCAAAAGAGTTCGAGATTGAATAAAACTTATCATATGATAGTCCTTATCCCGTTCAAATTAAAAGACGTCCGGATATATTTCACAAACCTAATCCCATTAGAAATCAAACTCCGTACGGCTTTATTATCTTTAGAAATCATCGTAGAACGAAAGAACCAACGCGACGCGTCAGCTTCATCGCGTCGCTATGGAGTCTGGTGCGCCGCGACAAGTCTGTCGCCCTGCGTCAAGATCAGTTCTATTCCGTTCCAAATTTTGATCTTTTCTGATCGTCCAAACTCTCTTTTTTCCTTATAAATAGAGGTCGTTTTCCCTCGTTTCAGATCACCAACAATTACCATCATCATCATCATAATACCCGGAATTCTTAATTCCTATGTTCTTAGGCTAGCCTAAATACATCCTTGATACTCTCCCAAATCAATCACAATACCTCATTCACGAGATTCGAATACTCTAAGCATACTCGACGTTGCCTTCGACCTCGACGTGAAAGGTTGATAGTTCTGAGGGTTTAGTCTAAATCTATATTTCAATTCATATTTGATTTATTTGCTTTATTGATTTAACTTTCTTGAAGTTTACTAACGTGTGTATTGTTTTAATAGCAAGAAGGTTGAGGCATCAAAGTGAGTAATTCAATCACCCTAATTATTGTTCTTTGATTTTGGAGTAGAAATCATGTTTACAATGTTATATTAATTCCTAGTATCATGTTTAGGATGTTATTTTGATTTCTAGTATTATGTTTAGGATAATGCTTTGACTTTGTTATTAGTGACATTCTAGGATTTGTTATTAATCTATTTAGTATCATGCCTAGGATCTTACCATTAACGATGTTTTGATGATGTTGTTGTGATGATGAATTGTTGTATTAATCATATGTTGCTTGATTATTCATGATTTATTGTTATGGCTTAATCACGCCCCTTTTTGCAGGTTTAAAGGGAATTTTGTCTTTGAAATCACACATAATAAGATAATTAATAATTTGATTTAGGTTAATATGATTTTAATTCAAGTGATCACCAATATTAGATTTGATTGTGCATTGATAATCAACCAACGTAGATTAAATAGGTTTAGAATTAACTTGATGTATGTATGTTGATCGAAAATCGCACATGAATATCATAAGAATTAAGTAGAGGCCTATTTAGGGTGGGTTCAATCTCTTTTAGGTTGGATTCATACCATCATCCCCGAACATCCAGTCATGGTTGCGGACCACTATGGAGTTAGCAATTTCCGTGATTATGAATGGGGTGTAACCTTTGCACTCGTGAACGGTTTACAAGTTCCTAAAACTTGTTGGCGACTCTTTTATCTCTAGCTTCTTTTCTTTGGAATGCCGTCATGCCTAAAGCATGAAGCACAGTAGGGCTCGAGTTGAAAAATTCCCTACAACAGGTAATCGGTCATTGGGATTGAAGAAAGTAAACACCTCCAAAGTTCGAATTATTCCAGAATAATCCAATGTTGGGATTATTGAAAGAAGATCGGGGAAAGTTGGGATTTTTAAAACCCATTTTTCCTTTAGAAAAAAAAAAGTATACTCAAAGCTTAATTTATGTCCAATTGGGACATCTCCAATTTTTATTATTTATTTTATTTTACTCTTTTGTATAAGTGAGTTTTATATAAATACTCAAGTCCCTTCTACACTTCTTCCCACTAAAAGTCCAACACCTTTTATATACACTCGGATGTACATAGAAGTAGGTGCACCTAAGGGTAAACTTTATTTTTTTTTTTTTTTTCGCTCATATAATTATAAAAAATGAACGTATAAAATTGAGTGTTGTATTGTATAATACTGTTCACTTTTTTGACATGTTTATTTTTTATTATTATATGTTCATTTTTTTTACTTGTACATCTTTTATTACTAAAACTTCAATTTTTTTTTCCACGTATTCATTTTTCATTACTAAATGTTCATTTTATAGGGTCTGGACCACCTAATTAGTATGCACTAGGGTGCACCATATAACTATAGAATCATACTTATGTAAGCAAAATAATGTTAGATTGGATTTGGAATTAATATAGTGTTTGAAATTTAGACATATTAGGCAGCACTAAAACTAACCTCAAGAACTCAACTAACATTATTTTTGCTCCTGTGAGATTGGTTGAAATAGGTCTACTTACCCACTTCCCCTTCTCTTTACACATTCTTTTAAATACCTGAAGTATCAGCTGCTCCTCTAAGCTAAAATGGATTCTAAATCTAAACACATTTCACATGGTGAGAATGGAATATTAGAATGGGAAATTCAGGAGGATGAAGAGCTATTCGACATCGATTTAGCACTCGTTGACAACATTCCGCCACCCAATTACTATTGGGAGAACTACGTAATGTCAACAGGTAACGCACTCCTTGCCAATTGTCTATTGCCTGTAACTCATCTCTCAACCGCAGTTCCTGTGAATTCAGGGGAGACTGATCAGAATGATCACCATATTCTGTCGGTTTCAGTCTTGAAATTGCCTGACGTGCAGATGCCTGGAAAGTCTAAAGAGTTTCCCTCGTTACAGACATTGCAAAGCAAGGACTTGAGCTGGTTTTATACCACTTAAATAGGCAAACTGAGTTCTAATGTATTAGTATTATTTAGGAACTTCTATCAAATATCCATAGTTACTCATTTGTAGTTCTCATGCAGAAATTTACGATTAGATTGTAGACTAATTTCATAATTGCGGGTTATGATGTAAGATTTATAGATCAGAAATACATTTCACCCCTTTGCCACTTTAATCAGAAATTTGTCTTTCAGAAAATTATTCTTACACTTCTTACTTCTATAGTTCATTACTCTCGCAGTCGTAAATCCTGATTCTATGACGATTGACAAACATTAAATTACCCTCTTACATATACTCGTACAAATTAAACACGAGTACAAAAAGAATTGACAGAAATGTTAAACATATATTGAAAATGGAAATCACATGAAAAATGCTCATCATTATCTCAACTTGGTGATAAGAATGAATGCCTATGAATTCCACGAACTGTCCTCCAAGTTCCTCTACAAAATAATTAAACAAGATGAACATATACCTGTAACTGAAATTAGATTGCCCTGAAATTGAAGCAATCAAGACACCCTCACAACCATCTTGTTTTTCTTCCCAGCAGATAGCAAGAGAACTTTCCCATCCACAATATCATCAGCCTCAATCCTCTTACTCTCACTATCAACTCGGCTGTTATTCAGATAAAGTCCCCCTTGCTTCATCATACGACGTACAGCAGACTTACTTTCAAGCAACCCTGACAAAACCGAGAGATCAACAATAGAAAGATTTAAGATTTCATTGTAAGCTAATGAACAGGAGGGCACATCTTCAGCAATCCCTTCAATTGTCTTCCAGTCCAATTTAGTCTCAGCACCAGGCCTCAATGCCTCAGTTGCCTTAATAGCCTCTTTCAAACCTTCTTCCCCATGGACAAATCGTGTTAGTTCTTCCGCAAGCCTTCTCTGAGCTGAATTTGGCACATATCCTGGTCTCTTCATCTCACTCTCAATTTCTGCTATCTCCTCCATTTCAAGGAAAGTCGATATTCTCAAAAACCTCACCACATCAGAATCAGGAACCGTGAAGAAATATTGATAAAACTTGTAAGGGGATAGCAATGCAGGAGATAACCAAATAGCCCCTTCCTCCGATTTCCCAAATTTTGACCCATCACTCTTCAAAAGAAGAGGAAATGTAAGCCCATATGCTCCTTCTACAGCCATAATCTTCCTAATCAACTCGGTCCCTGCGGTTATATTCCCCCATTGATCACTACCACCAATTTGGACAGAAATTCCCTCATTCTTGTAAAGATGAAGAAAATCATACCCCTGCAATAACTGGTAACTAAATTCAGTAAAGCTCATCCCTTGCTCCGATTCTAATCTCTTTTTAACACTCTCTTTTGACATCATAACACCAACTCTAGCATTCCTCCCCACATTTTTCAGAAAATCAAGGAAACTAACACCCTTCCACCAATCAAAATTATTCAAAATCACAAATTTATCATCACCAAATCTACTCAAAATCTTATTCAAAATAGATTTAATACCTCTAATATTCTTTTCTAGGGTTACATCATCCAAATCTGGCCTTTCACTGGACTTCCCTGACGGGTCTCCAACACGGCCAGTGGCACCACCAAGTACAGCAACTGGTTTGTGGCCGCATCTCTGGAACCAAGATAGGACAATTATGCCAATTAAATTCCCCAAATGCAGACTCTCCGCTGTTGGGTCGAAGCCACAGTAGACCTTCAATGGCGGATGATTATCCTTCAAGGAACAAGCAGAGCGGAGATTTTCACTGGTGATTGATTCAATAAGGCCTCTTTGTTCGAGAATATCGACCACATTTCGGCTTAGTTGCCAGTCCTTGGGGGTGATGGCAGTGAGTTCAGGAGATCGGGATGCTAGGGTTTGGACAGGGCGGCCTTTGAGAAGAGAGAATGAGGAATTGGGGGCAATAGTTGAGATTCCATTAGTGGGGCACAGTGGGAGGAGAGAGAAGCAATGACGGTAAGAGAGTAAGGATCTTGTAGCAATTGGTACTGTTACAATTGCAGTCATGGATGAACTCTTAGAGATTATACAGAGTGCAGAAGACAATCAGCAATGTGATTGTTGTATAAAGTCAGAGCCCAAATATAGAGTAAAGCAACTTTCAAGGGAAGATAACAATTAACATTTTGGTACCCTGAAACAAGACAAAAGATTAAATTAAGTTCAGTACAGTTGTTTGGAAGAAGCTGGTGCCCCTGGTGGCTGGTGCTTTTTATTTATCAACTAATACAAGAAATTTTAGCTGAACAAAAAAACACAGTAAAAGAATGGAATGAAAAAAGTAGGGTGGGCGGGAGTGAGGGGTGTGTGGGTGGGAGAAGAGGGGTGGGGGGGCAGTCTGACAGAAATCAAAAGTTTATGCTTTTGATTCAAGGATCTCCTTAAATATATGGGCAATATCAAACAACATCACCACATATACTCTAACAGTTTAACTTAAGCAATCCCAACTCTAATCAACTCAAGCAAACTAAAGATGTTTGAAGCCTATAATTCAATATTTGAAAGTTAGAAACCCTCAACTTTAGCTTTTCCCAACTTTTAAAAAACATCCTTTCCCATGATAGAGTTCACATAAGACATTTATACATTTTCCCTCAAACACACAGCAAAGCAGAAAGAATGCATTCTAAACTGATTAATTAAAAAGGGAATATATATGTAAACTTTGTTTTGAAAAGTCTCCTATTCCTTCCCAAAATTCGCCACCGTCCCCTCAAGGACCCCAACACTAATATCCTTCATAATTGAAACACCCCCTTTTTTTTTTTAATCACTGAATCCCATTGCAGACGGCTAGCAACAGCATGATGGAGTATGATACACCCAACTACCCAAGTACCCAACCCAACCCATTCCCTCCCCCCCCCCCCTTTTTTTTTTCCTTTTTCTACCCCCTCCTCTATCCCATTCCGTCACACCTCTCTTCTTTCTTCCCACAGAAAATTAAATTTTAAACAATAAGACCCCAAGATGTTAAACAAATACTAGTGAAGCAGGGGAAGGTCCCAAAGTTATACAAAACTGGTACTGAACTATGTAGGAATCAACTAGCTCTAATTGGGTATTGGTTACACACTGAACCACAAAATATAAAACAGAAGTTGTACTTCGTAGAGGAAATCAATATATTATAGGAAAGGTTTGTCCGATTATCCTTTGTTTGGAATGTATAGGGGTGAAATTTCCCAAGGGTTGAAACTGTTTGCTTCTAGCAAAGAAGAAATGAATCATTTTCCCCCATATTACTAACTTATTTTGTTCCTTTCTTCCACAGTTCCACCCCTTCCCTCCATTTCCACTTTTCCTTTTATATTTAGCTTTTCAATCAAAGAATTAAACAAAGGAAAAGGAATTTCCAGTCTACATTCAGTTCAACATGTTTTCCATTGAACCAGACACAACGAAAATTAAAGTATTCTGCAAGTTCTGAATAGTTTCTTGAAATTCAAGCTCCTACAAGTTTATAAAAAATTCTATAAAATTGACTGAGCAAATAACACTTGACAATGTTAATTATTATTCCTTGAATATTCAGACAACAGCCTCCAACATTCAACTGCAATCCTAATACTACTACTTCAAGGAATAGAAAAAACCTCTACCATGAGTACCATCTCAAATCACTTTTTACCAACTGAATCCAGGTACGAAGTAATTTGGCAAAAGATAACCCACAAAAAGTTTTTGTAATCAACTGGTTGGACTATAATTCAATGGGCACTTTAGATGCCTAAGTTAGACAATTAGTACTCAGAATGAAAATCCTAAGCACCTTAAAAACCATCAAGTAATATTATTATTGTTTCAAAGCTCTAAAATAAGTACGGCATCCTAGGAATCATCTTTGCAGCTCAGTGGACGATACTCATCAAATTGAACAAAATGATTTGAACTGTGTGAGGATAAAAAAAATCATTGCTATGCTAGGGAGCACCGGTTGATCTCAATTTCAAAGCTTTTAAGTTTAGCTAAAATCAATACAGTATATGTAGTTGAATACATAAGTGGGTTCAGATAGTCCATAGTTACCCAATAAAAACTCCACAACAAAAAATGTTCATAAAAATCACAAAATAATATAAATCATAAATAACTTAATTATTTTTAGGTTTCATTTAAAAACTTTTATATAATTATATATTAAATGTTAAATTAAAACCCTGTGATATAGCCTGGATTTATAAACTCCATGGAATAGATCAACAATCTGCAATACATTTATAAATGGGGTTATAATCCCAGAAAGTTTTAATGGCATATCTTTAAAAACAAAGGAAGGAACCCAAATTAACATCTAAATTAGCCAACTAATTTTATTATCATACCCATTTTAATAAAATATTATCAGATGAAAAATAGTTTTGTGCTTAAAATTTGGACATTAATTATGTGACTATATCACTATATGAGTGTTCGATTCCAGTTTACTATATGAGTGTTAATTCCCAATTGAAATTTTAATGGGTTAATTCAATATTTCAACTTCCATATATTACTGTAACTAAGATAAGAAAAAAACCAACAAAAGGGAGCATAAGGATAGGAAGGAGAAGAGGTCCAATTTCATAGTTCAATCCTAACATTAAAGGGTTCTGCAACACATTAGCAATCAAATTTAATTCAATCTTAAAATCACATAATTTTAGGGAGAAAAGTCATATTTGATTCAATTATCAAATTAGGCTCATAATTTTCTACTCTATCAACATAATCGCTCATAACCTTAGTAATTATAACCAATAATTCAAAAATTCGAACCTAAACTTACTAAACTGACAATTGAATTAAATTAGATCAAAGATAAACCCTAGATTGTGAAATTGATATGAAGATTACAAAAGGAAATAACAACTTACCTCAGAAGCTGCTTGAGAACGTGGACTGCGCTACAATAAAGAACTGAGAGAGAGGAGGAGGACGTTCATATTTTTTTTGGACAATATAGTCAATATTTATCCATTGAAATACTTACCTTTGTCCCTCGTATTTTTTACGCAAAAATATGAGTCAAACTTTAAAACCTTTGACCATAAAAATATTAGTCGTATTTGTACAAGAGTTTGGCCTTGTGTGGTAAAGAGTTTTTAGCTTATTTTGCCCTATTAGAGGTTTGCCCAGTTAAAAAAGCTAATATAGGTATTTGGTAAATAGCTTATCAAAAGAGGTTTGCCCAGTTAAAAAAGCTAATATAGGTATTTGGTAAATAGCTTACAACCCGGCGCTCGCATTTTTTTCATGAAATTCCGTTTTTGCCCCCCGTATATAAATACTCAAGACAATTACAACACTTTTTTACGCTCGTACTTCTCTCTCTAAAAACTGAAAATCTCCTCAAAAATTAAGAAAACAGGATTTTTTTTGTAAAATTCAAAAAAAAAAAATCTGAAAATTCAAAAAAATAAAAAACAGGAAATAAAAAAGAAAAAGAACAAGAACCACCACCAATCCAAGGAGGGTACACCAATGGCGGATTGGAGGCGAATAAGGTTCACCTACGGCGGTCGTGGCGGCGGCGTGGGAGGCGGCGAACAGATTTGGCTCACAGTTCTTTTGATTTTCGTAAATACGTTTAAAAAAAAATCTGGAAAATTTGGGTCATCCGCCTGAAATTTCCGGATGTCCCTCGGGAATAATATTAAACTGCTCGGTATACTATGTGACAAAGTGGTGGAGCCTTATATAGGTCAAATTAACACAAGGGCAAAACGGTAAATTCACATTTAAATGGGAGCGTCACCATGTAAATTGGGAGCGTCGAATAGCAGTTCACCATTATAAGAGCTATTTAAAATTAGCTTATTGAAAAATTTGCTTTTTGGCTATTAAATACACTAAAACAGCTAACAATTAAGAGCTATTTATCAAACACTTTTACAAAATCAGCTAATTATAACCAGCTAGTCAAACCAGCTAATATAATCAGGTAGTTAAATCAACTAATACAATCAGCTACCAGCTAATTACCGAACAGAGCGTTTGTTGGATTCGTCTTATTTTATAACTTTTATACGTATGAAAATGGAAATAAAACCATTTTAAGACACCTTTAAAGACCGCAAAAAGTTAAATGGGGCAAAATATTAGGGACGAAAGAAGTAATTTATACTTTGTATTATTACGAGTACGTACTTTTCGTATCTTATTTAGTACTCATTTGTTTTTCATTTTATCGAATTGACTTGTACTTATACTTGGTAGTTTAGATTTCAACCGTGCATAATTTTTTTTTTTAAGGTAAGAAGAAGGACCCTACTCAGTCGGCACCTCTCACAAGTTTAGCCAACTCAGCTTCACGGGTCAACCGTGCATAATGTATATTTGAATTCTAAAGCCTAATTGACTCTGGTGTTTTGATTTTTGCTATGCATGTTCTTTTTTCTATTTTTATGGTCAAATTTATTTAATATAATTATTATTAGTGAAAATTAAGATCGATTATACTACGTAGTTATTGTTCTTATTATTAGTAGTTGTTTGGGTCCAATTTAGTCCAATTGGGCCTAGGCATTAAATGATCCAATTAAAAGCCCAAGGTCAAGGTTCAACTCTCCAATTGTGCTAAAGTCAAAGGTCAGCCCTCAAAGCAAGCCAATTGGGCTAAGGCCCAACTTCTCCATGTATGAAGAGGTATAAAAGCCATCAATATTCATATATACAGGGTGATTCATATGGTCACATTCATTCACATATTTTCATAGATTCCCATACATTCTCATATATTCTCATATATTCAAGCAAAGCCTCAAGCAACTAATTCTCTTGCATAGTGTTCTCTTTCTACACATTGTACTGACTTTAGCATCGAAGGGGCCTTCCTCGGCAACACCCCCGAGGCTAGTTTACGTGTGTTTACTGTGCAGGAAACCTTCGGCCCAACATTACTTGGACCGAATCTAGTCTTCTCCGTTTCAGCGGACCTTCGGCAAGGTCCCATTGTTTTCACCCGAAATAATTTGGCGCCGTCTGTGGGGAAGACTTTCAAAAATCTTTAAGCCAAATTTCTAACCAAGATCATCTTGCAATTATCTTAGTAGCAATGGCTAAGAACCGCAAGAGCAAAAGCCTCCGTCAAGGAGCGGGCGAAAAGCCTAAAACCCCTACACCATCACCCTCGCCGGACCGGAACTCTCCCAAGGGTGCCAGCTCGGGGGGAGGATCATACAAGGAGGATTCCCTTTCTCCCGTAATTCATGACTCTCATCATAGGCCGAGTCACTCTTGGTCTAGCAGGGGTGAGTCCGATCATAGGACACATTCAGTGCCCCAAAGCCAACCATCGGCTGTGCGCCCTCATTCCCATACTCGGCCGAGGACCCCTTTGACGGGGCCCAGCTCGGAAGAGGTGGCAAGAGCGCTGACAGTACTCATGGAGGCGATGAGGGCACAAAATATGCCACCACCTCATGATCGAACTCCTCCGCATACCCGGCATCAGCGGAGGAAGTTAGACCATGATGGTGGGAAGCTTCCTTCCTTCCGGGAACTGGAAGAGTGGGAAGAGGATACCTAGAAGAATGAAAAAGAGAGGAAAAAGAACCCTCAATTTTTAAAAGGATCCTCATCCTCACGACCAGAAACGCATAAGAGCAGCAGCTCAGCTTCTCGGCCAGAATCTACTCACCGAGAACCTGAGACGGTTCGCCGAAGCGTCCTCGACCGACTCGGCGGCAAGGAACCGAGTGTGCGCAGTCGCCTCTCGTTCCCTGCAGCCGAGGCCCAGACTTCCCAGCCAGGGACGAAAACCACTCCTACCTCTCTAAGAGGGCGGAGCGCGGTCCCTTCGGCCAGTAACAAGGGCAAGGCCGTTATGCTACCCGCCAGTTCACCATTCGAGCAATGGATACTGGAAGAGCGCGTACCCACGGTTAAAATACCGTCGCACATCACATATGACGGGACCTCGGATCCGAAGGATCACGTGGCCTCGTATGAGACTCATATGCATCTTTGCCCCAGATCCGAAGCGACTTGGTGCAAATATTTCCCAACCACTCTCAAGGGGGTCGCGCAAGCGTGGATCTCCAAGGGAGTAAGGCAAGGCTCCATAACAGGGTGGGATGATCTGTCCACCAAGTTCAGGAGCAAGTTTTCCACGGCAAACCGCCGAGAGAAGACTACTGCAGAGCTCATGAGTCTACAACAGGGGGAAACCGAAAGCCTCCGAGACTATCTGACCCGTTTCAGTAACGAGTCATCCAGCGTTTCTCAGCTGGACCAGGGGCTAGCCGTTTTTGCGATGCAGGATGGCCTTCAGCCCGGAAAGTTCCTAGACTTCATGGTCATGCATACCCCGCAGACCTTGGAGGAAGCTCTGAATGCCTCGGATAAGTTCATCCGAGCCGAAGAATGGAACAAAGCGAAAACCCAACCTCAATTTGGGGGAGGGAAACAAAGACAAATACCCTTGTCTGAAGGCCAAGGCCATAAGGCAAAGGGAAAGTCAAAGGCCTCAGAGCAATCTTCGGCCAGCGACCCAAAGAAGGAAAGATCTGCCTCAAACACAGGCAGATACGAGTCCTACACTCCGCTCTCTCTTCCACGCGCCAAAATTTACAGCGTGACGAAGGAGGAGCAGAGTTACCGAAAGCCGAGACCACTCCCAGAGTGGTATCAGCGAAAAAATAAAAATCAGTGGTGCGAGTTCCACGAGTCTTCGGGACACAACACTGAGGAGTGTATCCAACTGAAGGACCAGATAGAGGACATGGTCCGGAAGGGATACTTGAAAAAATACATCGCGGATCACCGCGAGAAAAAAGAATCCGGGAAGTCAGCAAAGGACGCTCGGCAAGACCTCGACTTCCCCCGGAAGAACAGTAAAAAGCCGGAGGGGAAATTCCCTCCGATCAATGTTATCTCGGGAGGAATATACTCTCGGAGGGAGCACAAGCGACACCTAAGAGCTTTGACTCACCAGGTGAACAACGCTGACATTCAATCTCCCCAGTCGCCGGTGCCGAACATGACGTTCACAGCCGCCGACTGCCGGGGGATAGCGTTCCCTCACGAGGATCCGTTGGTAATCATCGCCACGGTGGCCAACCACGACGTCAGTAAGGTCCTTGTTGACGGTGGCAGCGGAGCAAACATTCTGTTCCGAAAGGCCTACAATCAAATCAAGCTGAAGCCCAAGCACCTTACGCCGGTACCCTACCCGGTATCCGGGTTCAACGGGGCTTCAACTTATCCAGATGGGAAGGTGACACTTCCTGTCACCATCGGCTGCGATGAGGCAGCCAGGAACGTCATGATTGAATTTTTGGTCATTGACGCTCCTTCAGTGTACAACGTGATTTTGGGGAGACCCATAATTCATGAGATCCAAGGGGTCGTCTCAACTTATCATCAGCTGATGATTTACGTCTCAGACGCCGGCTTCCCTGAAAGGATACAGGGCAACCAAAAGGACGCCCGAAGGTGCAACTACCTCAAGCCATCCAGTAGTCGCCAGACGACGACAAGGATGAGGAGGAGAAAGAAAAAGAAAGAGAGCCAAGCACCAAAAAGCCGAAAGGCCTAAGTGCTTCGGCTCAAGGATCTGAACCCAGAGGTAAAGGGCCCGAAAGGGAAAAGGCTAGCTCTTCAGCTGAGCCGCAAGACTCAGAGAGCCAGCCGAAGAACAAAAAGACTGGGACACCTGCTGACATTGGCAGCAGGCCAGATTATGAGGAGTCCAGTCCATCAGCAATGGACATGGACCAACAGACTGAAACAGTTGAGCTGGCCGAAGGAGACGTTGAGAAATGTGTAACAATCGGGATGGACCTTGATCCGAACACCCGTTGTGAACTTATTCAGCTCCTTCGGGACAACAGAGATTTGTTTGCTTTCTCGGCAGCTGATATGCCCGGGATAAGTTCAGACCTCATCTCCCATAAGCTTAATGTTGACCCAACGTGTCGACCAGTTAAGCAAAAGAAGCGGAATTACTCCGCTAATAAGAACCGAGACATCGCAGCCGAG